ATACGTGGAAACATCTACTCCATAAACAAATTGAACCTGTAAGAATATGCTTGATTGTCAGTTCTGCTGTGTAAGTTCTTCAAGCCGGTTAATTTCTACCCTTTGTACGCGAAATTCACTCTTGCGTATCCCCATATTTGTGAAACAAATTCGAAAAATCAACCTTTACAGGTGATTTTAACTAATTTTTTTTCGATATGCCAGCATTTCCATATGAATCACATGTTTCTTAGATTCGTTTTGAGCTAACATCACTACAAATGGTATACATCGCGAAATTCACCGCTGTGATAGTTCCTTGTCTTTTACTTTCTTTTCATGTCGCCTGTTTATATGTTGTCTGTGAATTACATCTAGCTACATCCACAAGTAATGCGTTTTTTAGCTCATACGCTTTTTTTGTTTATTTCAGCTTCTCGATCGCCTGCCCCATCTCGCCGATCTAATGTCTCCTCAAGTGACAGTGAAAGTTCTGCCTCTAGCAGTGACAGAAATGACCTTTCCAATCGACGGGGACCTGATTCGAGGGTAAACGGCGGATCCTCCTCCTCGCTATCTTCGGCTTCAACTAATCAAATAGCGGATCAGAACCAGCGCCAGTTCATCAAGCCCTCTTCCCCGTCATCTTCGAATTTCACACATTCTAGGGGCAAACATACTCTTCGAGTTGACGATATTTTCAAAGACGGGTTGGTTTGCCTTTTCATTACAATTTGAATTTGGCTTATTTTAGGAAACACTAATTTCTGGTATGAAAATGCCTTGGTGACTCCATAAAGGTCAATTGGGCCTCCTACAGTCACCGAGGTTTTGATCTAGGTTCCTTTCCTGATTTTTTCAATGCATCCTGTGAACGGCGCAGTGACTATTCTTAATGTCCACCGTTTATAACTGCCATAATCACGATTTTGCTCATGTTTACAAATGTTAATGTTTGTGGGTCGTAAATGGACCAAAGACATGTCCTAACGGGATAACGCATTATCTGTGGCCATTTCCTACGTCCAATACCTCCGTAATTATGTCCGACCCATATTAATTAAGTAAACTTGAGTCCGCATTTTTTTAAAATTATTCGCAAACCACTGAAATGTGGTCGTAGCAAAGTGCCCGTTGAAAGATTTTAATTGCACTAATTCAGGCGTTTATGGCACCGTTTTTTGCAAAGATACTGATCTGGGAAATTTTTAAGGTTGTTCAAGTAGTTTTACAATTTGCGTGGAAGATTATAATTCCTGTTCTCTAATTTAGCTCCTCCGACTTTGAAAGCAGCCAAGTTGCCTCACCACATCACTCTCCCAGACTGTCTCCAGCTCCCACATCTCCCAACCCCCATTCCGCTGACGAGGCTGCCAAGTCAGATTCGTCATCCACGGAATCTTCTGAAGGTAATGTTTCTGTTATCAACCGTCAGCCGTCACCACCGTCGCCTTCGTCACCAACAGCTTCGGGGCCAACGAGGAAATTATCGAACTCAGAGGTCAATTGCAATGAAGTTCTTTCCAGTTTGAGTTCTCTAAACTCTGAGGTAAATTTTTTGTCCTAAGGAACCAAACCATACGAGCATTGAACACTTGCCTTTCTCAATCCTTTTTGAGGTTTTTATGTTTGCAAAATCGTATTTGATCACTTTTGATTTAATGACCCATTTCTCGTAAACCTTTTCGCGTTACTATTGATGCTTACCCTATAATATGCATACTAGGTAGATTATAATGTGAAGAGTTCGTGTTGAGTGACTTGATCCTACTTTAGCTAACACTGGAAACCAACAACAGTGCAAGGAACCAAGCCAGAAGCTGAGGACAGCTTCACTCCTAAGGGGGAGGCAGTGTGG